TGATAATTTCAACGTCTTTGAAGCCCGTGATGGTTGAGATTGCCTATGTGAAGCTTGAGATGCTTTATCAACATACTCATGATATGAAGGGTCCCTATAAACATCATAACCTACTGATTTTTTTTCCTTTCTTCTTGACTCCCCCTTTGGTTTTTATTTTCTCAGGTGGTGGACACAAAGAAGTCATTGTGGGGTAGGAAAGTTTAAAAACTCTACTTTTTAATGCTCTTTTCCCAACAACGTTTAGTGACCTAAACCTTTTCCATAATTCATCTAGTTCACTATTCATATCCACCACTGATTCATCATCTGCATCTACCTCCAACTCAACTTCCATAGTTAGTTTTCTCCGATGAACATGAACAACATCTATTGGTATTGGTATACCACCAAGTCTGTATCTTGTTAACTCACAAGCACAAGGTAACCCATATGTTGTTTTAAGACTACAACCACATATTTCACTGTTAGTTCTAACATAATCAACTCTCAATAACTCTTCAACAATGCGTCTCAAAGTAGCTCGAGACACTGAACCATGTAAATTACTGTAGAATGGACTTACGGGCGTGCTTAACTTTATAAAAGCTTTTTTGAAAATAAGCTCTAATGTTACCCACTTGTAACTTTAAGTTGTTATTCATAGCCTCCAAACATTTGACCATGTCACCTATACTATTGCCCAACATCTGCTTTAACTTCCAATGAGCAGACTCAACCCTAAAAATAACACATAGTAAAAATACTTTGAAAAATACTTTGAAAAATACAAATTACAAATATACAATTTAAAAATACTAAAAATAAATACATAGTAAAAATATTAATAAAAAGATACATACCGATTAGTCGTGATGTTACCCAAATGTAGCACTCGATTAATCCATGCTCCAACAAATCTTTGTCTATGTGGTGTCAACCATGTGTCTTTCACATAATAAAAAAATTCATTACAATCAACACACGCCTGCTCAAGTTGTTGCAGCCGTTGATCATACTCAACCTCGTCACTAGCCCATACAACTTCCACCCATAAGTCCTTGATCGTCTTTTTCATGTCACTAACCACATATTGCTTATATTTTGCACCAACATTTTTGTTAATGTGAAATCGACATAGCAAATTGATTGACCTTGGAGACACAATTTCAATTGCTTTCATCAAAACAAGATCTCTATCTGTCACAATCACTTGTGGACACAAATCTTTCTTCACAAACAATTCTTTAAGCTTATCTAACACCCAACAAAAAGTCTCAGTCTGCTCAGACTCCATATACACAAATGCGACAGCAAAAGTCAACTCGGTTGATGTCATGCCAACAGTTTCAAATAGAGGTTGCCTATATTTGTTTGTCTTATAGGTGTTATCCATAACTAACACAATAGAAAAAATATTCAACAATTTAACTGAATCTGGATGGGCCCAAAATATACCTCTAATAACTTTAGAGTCATCTCTTTTTCTAATCCAATAAACATAACTTGCGTCCTCAATAAACTTAAACAAATATGGTATCTCACTTCTAGGACCTCTTATCTCTTTTTCTATCATACTCTTAAGCTTAAATATTCACGTGATCCGAGTGACAGCCTCTGGATCTCGCTCTTTCAAGGAAAGTAATATGTGTCTAGGTGGAACATGTCTCATTGCCAAATCAACAACATATTGCTTCTGATCTGTGGTCAACCTACCAACAAAGGAATGACCTTTTAATCTATCAGGTAAACCATGGTTATGAACTATGCATTTTACATCAACCTTCCATCCAAATCCATCTTTCGTCGGAGTCGACCTGATTTTAAATGGACATCTTCATTTTTCGTTGCACTTTGGGTACCACTATTAGTATCCTTGTGTTTTCCACCTTTATCACAACCAAATATTAATTTGTTACTTCTTCCTCTCTTGCCCATTCAGTATCTGAACAAGTGAAAATAACAGTTACTTTATTTCGGATTCCAACCTTTTTAATCTACCATATCACCTCTTCTCGTGTACCATATTTTTAAGTAGTTGAAAAAACATTAGAAGTATGTACACATATTTTTGGAGGAATTTTCATACCTGCACTATAAAAAAAATTATAAAAAAAATTAAAAAAAGCAAACTGTATCACTTTAGGAAAGAGTTCCAGTATGTAATTTTAATTAACCGAATATCTTCAAAAATGTCTTTTGAAAAAGGGAAGTAACATACCAGATGACTTCCAAAAAGTGGTCTGATATAGGTTTGTAACAAACCGGAACTCTTTTGGTCAGTCTTCCGGTATATGATTTGTTATAAACTGGAACTCTTTGTTCATGTCTTCTGAAAGCGATTGTTAACATATCAGAACTCTTGATCAAAGTCTTATGGAAATCTTTGTTTCGTCTACTGTCCTTACCGGATGTCTGACATGAATAGTAAAAAGTAAAAAATAAAATAATAAAAAATAAACAAGAGTAAAATTGCCATTTTAAAAAAAAATGTAGGAGTTTGGTATAACTGTAGGGATATGCCCTAGGAGTGCTTTTACACCCCTGGCCCATTTCTTTTTTTTTCTTCTTCTTAATTTTATCGATATTTGGCTAATATTAAAAGAAATAACATATCAAAGGATCATATTTATTTTAACATAAATTTTTTATTGAGTTATTAGTAAAAAAAATATTTATAATGTTGTATTTGTACAGTTTTTTTTAAATCTATTTTTCTTTCCTAAAAAAACCAATAAAATGAGATTTTATTCTTAGATGCATGAATTAGGGTTACTATTATCCAATTTTTATTATTTAAAAAAAACTAATGAATGTCTTTTAGGGTTTTAGAATCAATCTTGACTCGTGGATTGAATTGTTTGACTTTTGATTGAATTGTGGATGCTTGCATGCCTTGTGTGATGCTTATTAATTGTATGATTATATGTCATATTTGATTGTATGACATATGTAATATTATATGAGGATCTTTGATTGTTAAACAAGACATGAATGTGCAAATAAAATAAACCTTTCAAATAAGAACAAACACTTGATCAACATCAAGTTAGTTTTCAAAATCTCACAAGTTTAAACTATTTTCAATTCATTTCCAACCTTTTCAAATCTTTTCTTCAACTATCCCTTAACGCAAATCAAAACTCGATCAACATCAAGTCATTTTCAAATTCAAAAATAAAATATTTAATCATACTTAAATATCATGTCAAAGGGTGAAAAGGAAGATGGTCTAGAGCCTTCGATTCCTCTCCACAATTGTTTGGATACGAGTTGCCTCACTTGACCATTCGAACAATTGTCATCCATAAAAAACTTTCAATCCAATTCACCTTAAACTCTTTTCATAATCAAATCTAAGCAAACTCATTTTCATCACAACTTTGACGAAAAAGGAGATGGTCTAAAGCCTTCTATTCCTCTTCCCGAGTACTCAAATACGTTTCCTTACTCGACCATTTGAGTACTTGTCGTCCAAACAAAATACATTAAAAATACTAAATTATTTTGAAAATTAAGGATGAAAAGGGAGATGGTCTAGGGCCTTCTATTCATCTTCACGATTGTTTGGATACAAGTTGCCTTACTAGACTACTCGAGCTATCGTCATCCAAGAAGACACTCAACAAATTTCTTCTTAATTTGAAAGATATTTCTTCCCAAAACATTGCAAAATAATGCTTCATCTACAAATGTGTGTCTTGAGATAAGTGGTGTTTTCCCGCGAATGTTGATATCTAGAAATCCATTCAGTGTGATGCAAATGTCCACTCCTTTATACTATTGTGGTTAAACAATGTTTTCCGCCATTAATGACAAAACATCTTTCACCAAAATTAACCAACAAACAAAATATTTTCTACCCGAACTATGAAGCTTTAAGTTCCTCATTGTACCCGAGGATGATAAGGAGCGAGACCCACAATCTCGTCAAGCACCCTAATAAAAAAATTTTTTTGCAACCCATTTTCTTTTATCTTTTCATCTTATAACCCCCGAAGAAAACAAATGGCATAAGCTAACATTCAATCGCAAGTTTAACTAAAAGGTTTCCATTGAGTACAACAGACGTGCGAGGTGCTAATACCCTCCCCTTGCGATTCGATTCGTGAACCTGAATTTAATTGCGATGACCATTTTATTTTATTTTTGAAGGTTTTATCGATATTTTTTTTATTGAAATAAATAAAATTCGGTAGTGACTCTGTTTCGAACTATTTTTTGCAAGTGTGCAACACGCTTCGCAAATGATCATATTTTTTGAGATACGACACTAGAAAGAAAATTTTAAAATAAAAATCTCGATGCAAATGGTTAAAGGATGTTGACTCAAATACCAAGTTTTGTCACAATTTCAATGAAAATTATATTTAGAAGAAACATGACTATGTGCCTTAATACTCCAAGGGGGAGAATTGATCAAGTTGAAGAGGCCAAGTTGAAAGTTACGAATCACTTTGAGCATAAATTTAAAGTGAGTAACAATAGGAGGCCTAAGCTAGAAGGAGTGCATTTCAATTTTTTTTTCCATGGAAGAAAAGAGTATGCTTGAATGTCCTTTCTTGTATGAAGAAATCAAAGAAGTGGCTTGGCTCAGTGATGAAGAGAAAATCTCGGGTCCAAATGGCTTCAATCTAGGTTTTCTCAAGAGTTTTTGGGATGTCATTGAATAAGAGTTTTGTTAATGAGATTCACTTGAATTCCAAGCTTCCAAAGGCAGTGACAACCTCATTCTTGTTCTTGATTACCAAGGTAGATAATCCTCAATGTTTAGAGGCATTTAGGCCAATATTTTCGATAAGAAGTTTATACATAATTATTTATAAGCGGTTAGCATTTAGATTGAAGAGAAAGTTGGTATTCATCAACCAATCAACTTTCATACCTCAAAGACAGATGATGGATAGGGCTTTGGTGATCAATAAAGTGATAAATATTTTTCCAAACTTTGAATAACTACTCTTTATTTCTCAATATTTATAATACAAAAATGGTAGACATTTTCCAATAATTACTTGTAGCTAAATGTTTTTATTTTGGTGTAGAGTTAGCCTATGAACAAGTATATCTAATGCTTCCTTCATCCACCAATGCTCACAAACATCTCTTGCTTCAACAACATTCATCTGCACATTACATACACATAACTTAGTATTTGCAAATGCAGCTTAAAACATATTATCATAGTTTCCATAATAGCTCTTAAACACTTACCCATAATCTTGTACGTATATTTTTCTCTGGCCAAATCTCAAGTTGTTCCTTGACAAGTAAAGGAAACATGTGACCTTCATAGTATATACCATATCTTTTGCTAATGAAACTCCATTCACCTAACTCTTGCTGCAATTACAAAAACAAAGTTAAAAAAAAAAACTATTTTCAGTCATGTTTTAAATTGTTACATGTTCTTAAAATTATAGTATTTCATATTAAAACTTGAAAAATGATATATCCAATTATTTACTTCAACAATTCCTACAACTCCTGCTTCTTCAAGGGATTCTCTGCAAGCTGCTTCTTCTATAGATTCATCAACTTCCCATCCACCCTAAAACAAAACAAATAAAAGGATATATATTAATGCTAATATATATATATTTATAATAGAAACAAATTTAAGAAAAAATTATATATATTATTTATATGCAAGATCAAGCACTACCTTTGGAAACATGAATGTATGAGCCTTTTGTGAAGTAACAAGAAGTACTTCCAATTCATTGCTCATACTGCCATCAATGTTTTGTTTATATCTGTATGGTATGCACCTACACAATTTGACATATTAATAAATGTTAGACAAAGCAATATACAAGAAATGAAAGGAAGGTTTTCAGAAAACAAAGTGACTAACCCTACAACTTGGCGACCACCGTTAGTATTGTATCTCTGCATCTCCCTTCCAGAACGAGATACCATGCGAACCATCTTTTCACTACTCATGAGAACTTCAAAGGATCTTTGATCTATATATAAGATTAATGAGAAACAAAAGAACAAATTGTAGATTGATGAAGTGTGGACCAAGAAAGCTATCTATGCAAATATATAGGAGAGATAAATAGAGAAAAAGTGAAAAGCGTAGTAAAAGGGGCGTGTGCTTTATTGTATGAGTCTACTTCTTATTGCTTCTGCTATTTAAGATTGTTTGCTTAGTCAATTAGGTGACAAATATTGAATTTTGGTTATGCATAATACTCATTCAATATTATATTGGATTATGATTGAGTTTGGATTAATTAATCAATTGACTTTGTAGAAGAAATGAAGTTTCCGTACATGACGTTGTGTGCACGTATAGTTAATAATTTGAGTTACTATTTTTGACATGGGATTATCTAGTTAATTATTTAGAGAATGTTACATTTTTTCTTTTTTCGTTTTTCGTGGAAGCTTAAGTATTAAAATATTCAATGATGATTTCATACATTACAACATATTAGAGAAAAGATAAAACGAATTCTATGTCAAATATGTTTAAAATATGTACTAGAATATATTATTAGAAAATTAATTTAAATTAAAGGATCACGGCTAAAACCGTGACAAATTATATTCTTTATTGGATTTTAAGTATTTTTCAATTGTCTTAGAGTTCGTGCGTAGGAATATTCAAAATAATTCAACTTATATTCGAGTTTGTATAAGAACGATAAAAATTTGAATGTAGAAAAGACGAGAACTAAAATTTTGTGTGAAAAAAATAGACTTTTCTATTGTACTTTTTTAAATCTGGAACGTTCAATTTATAGGACAGAGTGGTGTTGTTTCACAAGATTGCGATCTTTGATAGAACAAACCCTTTCAATAACACTTTTGGTTGAATGTTGTAACTTTTCACCTACTGCAACACTTCAGAAGTGTTGTCTATTCCAATTACATTCTGCAACACTTCACAAAATATTGTCTATTTCAGAATTCAAAATACAAACTGTCTACTGCAACACTTCACAAAGCGTTGCCTATTTTCAAATTCAAGAAACAACTTTCACTTGCATACTTTCTTGTCATTTTGGAACACATCTTTAGTCTCCTTACAATACGTTTTCTGGTTGATTCATATAGATTGTTACATCAACGTTGCCATTGGGGAAAGCTTTCTTGACATCCATTTGATGGAGTTCCAAATCATAATGTGCAACAAGACCCATGATTTTCCTAAAAGAGTCTTTTGATGAAACTGGAGAGAAAGTCTTTGTAAAGTCAATCCCTTCCTTTTGAGTATATCCCTTAGCCACAAGATGAGCCTTATACCTCTCCACATTATCGTTAGAATCCCATTTGGTCTTAAAAATCCATTTGCAACCAATGGGTTTCACACCTTCTGATAACGGGAAAAGTTCCCAAACTTTATCATCTTGCATGAACTCATACTCATCTTTCATTGCTTAAATTCACTTTTCCGAGTTGGAACCCTGCATGGCTTGACGAAAGCTGATTGGATCGTCTTCCATCATACCATTATTTTCCTTATGTTCTTGGAGAAAGACTATGTAATCATCCGAAATAGAATTTCTCCTTTCTCTAATGGATCTTCGCAAAGGTATTGGTTCTTGTAACATTTGTTCTTGAGGATTTTGAGTTTGTTCTTCATGAACTTCCAAATCATTTTGAGTTGGAGGAATTGCAACAATGTTTTGTGCAGGTTCCGTACTTTCTTGATTAAAAACAACTATATGAATTAGTTCTGGAATTATTATCGATTCTTCCTTTAAGACAGAGTCTATTAACTTATTCTTCCCCCAGACTAAATATCCTTAAAGAATGTGGTTGTTCCTGTCTCAAAAGTTGAATTTAATTTGGGATCATAAAACTTGTAGCCCCTGGATCTTTCAGAATAACCAATAAAGTAGCTGCTCACTGTTCGGGAGTCTAATTTCTTTTCATTTGACCTATAAAGGCCTTGCCTCAGCTGGACATCCCCACACATGAAAAATTTTTAGACTAGGATTTCGTCCGCTCGAAAGCTCATAAGGTGTTTTGGCAGCTGCTTTGTTGGTACTCTATTTAGAATATAAGCTGCAGTCTTTAGTGTCTCTCCTCAGAGTGACTCTGGTAAGGTAGAATGAGAAATCATACTCCTTACCATATCCTTAAGAGTTCAATTTCATCTTTCAGCAACACCGTTCATGCTAGGAGATTTTGGAATGGTGTAGTGTAAGACGATTCTATATTCCTCCGGGTATTTGGAAAAAGGCCTTTGACGTTGTTCACCGGAACCATCATATCTACCGTATTATTCACCGCCACGATGGGATTTGACTTTCTTAATTCTTTTGTCAAGTTGATTCTCAACTTCAACCTTAAACAATTTGAACACATCCAATGACTAAGACGTTTCATGTATAAGAAATATGTATGCATATCTATGAATCACTACGCCAAAATTGATATTTTGTATCGCCTAATTTAATAGCGCTTTTAAAAAAAGTGCTATTAAAAAGGACACAAACACATCTATAATAGCGTTTTATAGTAAAGCGCTATTATAGAGTAGAGAGAATGTGATTTTAATAGCACTTTGTAAAAAACCGCTATTATAGATCTTCACTAAAATAGCGCTTTTTGAAAAAGCGCTATTAAAATGTTGCACTACAATAGCACTTTTATAAAAGCGCTATTATTAAACTATCCTATGTTCACTAAGATAGCGCTTTTTAAAAAAACGCTATTAAAATATTTCACTAAAATAGACTAAGATAGCGCATTTAAAAAACCGCTACTAAAATATTTCACTAAAATTTTAAACTATCCTTTGTTAGCATTACTAAAATGAATTAAAAGACCAAAGTCCTTTTTTCGTTTTGGCTCAAACTTTTTGATTCACCGCTAAAAACAAAACATATCATCACCCTCACTCATCTTCTTCATGATTCACCGCCGTCACTCATCTTCTTCATCGATTCACCGTCACTCATCTTCTTCAGGTATATTTTGGGTTTAACTTTTGATCTTCTCGCTAAATGCTATGATTTCCCTTTTCATTTGTGAATACCTCATTTCTACTTCTTTCTGCAAATGTGTGAATCTCTGCGTGTACCTGCTTGTCTATTGTAGTGTATTTGTGATTGGTGATAGCCGCATGAATTCGGCCTCCTCACTGAGCGTGTGAAATTCTCCTTTTCACTTCGAAGAGTTCAACAAAGATTCCGACGCGGAAAATCGACATCGACAATTTCACAGGTATTGTATTGTATTGTTGTCGTTTCCACCGTTTTGCAACTTGCACACTAAGTGTTCGGTAAATTGCCTCAACCAAATTTCTTTTCCTTTTTCGTTTCTGTTTCTTACTTTTGATTTCATCATGATGTGTTGGCTTGGAAAGTGATATAACACGACTTGTTTTGGCTTTGACTCGCACGACTTGTTTCAAAGGCTTGGAGGGTCTGCTTTGGGTATTGTAAATGGCCATCAAGTGCCATAACTTGGGCAAACTTATGCAGCCTTTATCTGGGGGAAAAGTTACTTCAGGCAGTAGTGATGAATTTGTATAATTAGGTTTTCATTTTTTCACAACTCTGCCTTAATTTCAACTTCATTGCAAACTTGACAGGATGAAACATCATTACTTCGATACCAATTGTGAAGATTAAGGAATGATTTTACACACCAAGTTTAACATCACCATTTGTGGTTAAGTTAAGCCACGAGTCCCTCACAAATTCATTTAGAGTGTTTCCTTTTGAGACAAATTAAAACTCTTAAATGCATATGGCACCTGTGGTTGGCTTCCTTGAGATTGTTGTTGCTGCTATTGAGATTGTTGTTGCTGCTAATGAGAGAGAGAGAGAGAGAGAGAGAGAGAGAGAGAGAGAGAGAGAGAGAGAGAGAAAGGGGATTTCATGTGACATTGTTAGTACTGCTTCATTTGTTTATTTATGTATGAATAAGATTGGTTTGAGAGTTGTTTATGTTTTGTTATAGGGTCATAATGGAAACTCTACAGGCACCGTCACTGCTTACTATGTAAGAACAAATAACTCTTGCTATTTTAATGCTTATTATATGCTACAATAATACTAATAAGTGATATTTCAAAATTCGTTATTATTTATTTTTAATATGGCATGTTGCAGTTGTCATCAAAAGGATCAAACTGGTGTGTGATCCAATTTCTGGACAAACATGGATGGTTTGTTATTCTACCTGATCAGCAAAAACATTAGAACAGAATAACCCAGTGGATTATGATGTATCTTTAGATGGTTTGATAATTTTCATCTTGCTTCCCTTTCTTTTCGTAGGTTTTAAATTGCCTTTAGACTCGTGACATCTATGATTTGGCAAGACAAAATCTGTGATATTGTCAAGGCTATCTTGGTTAGAGAAACATGATTGCTACATCATTTGAATACCCTGCGTAGTAAGTGTTATGGCTTTCATCCTTAATGCACGAATTTGGCTAACAGTGATGCATATTACTGGTTTTTTGGTAGTCTCTTCAAAATTGAATTTACACTGCCTTTTAGATTGGTACGCTTATGTTTCTGTTTTAATGGTGCTTGGTCCTGGATAACGTATTTGTATCCTAGGGAAATTTCTCCTGCAGGTTACTTCGCTGGCATTCATCGCCTAAACAAATTGGACGGGTATGCTTTGTTGCATACTCTTTTCCTTTGCGACGAGAAGTTACAGTTCTAACTCATGTTTTTCATCTTTGTCTTCTATTTTGCACCTATACTGGTGGGTAACTAGGAGAAGTCTGAGCTCAAGTCACAACAGAGGCAAATGTAAATGGTAGCTAGAGAAGGTACTGCTAAATTAACTTCTAAAGGCTTGTTGATCCTGTCGTTGACAGTACCGTTAAGTGCAGGAGGTAACATCATAGCCTGTTCCTCAAGCATTTCTGTTACATTCAATTGATATCCTCTTTTTAAGAAATTAGAATGGGGTGATAAACTTGTAACATAAACTTCTTGGATGGATCA